CTTAATGTCAACGACAGAGGGTGTACTTTACATCGTAGCCCATCGAAAAACTTTTAAAAAGCTTTAAATCTTGCCTTGGTCAGTTTAATATAAAATTCTTCCACAGTCCACAATATCAAACTTATCTCACACATTGGATTTTCAAGGTCAAATTGGCTTAAACTCTTAATTGGCAAAGGTTCACAGACCACAATGCTTATGAATGTGTTCGCATTCACTGCTTTTGGTGGAAAAGGGACTCACACTTGTGCATTCTAGGTGATACATTTCCATGTAATTACTGTACGGTTGCCCTAAAATGTTCGAACTTTGGAGACCTCAAGCCTACTTCAACAGAATAAAGTGAACTTATTGATAGGAGCATTTCTGCATTTAATTGGTAAGGATCTATGTTAACTACCTTCCCTCTTGTCAAACCTGTCAATGTCATAGCTCGCCTACCACGAATAATATGGTTCTAGCATTGGACTGAGTTCCTTGATCGTACTTTTAAGTTGAATGCTCATTGCAGCCTCGCTAATTTGCAAAACCGTATAGCGATTCAAAAATGCATCCAAGAAATTAGGAAAAACGCACCATTAGTCGACTTTCTCAAGCTATCTCAATCTCGAAGGCGGTAGAGTTAAAAAATTGAAGAGAACATAGCAAAAAAGATCACACTAATGCATTTACACGAGCCCGTGAACCATTGCGTATATACGTAGTGATCGAAATTGTAAGTCCGCCCTCGTCACTGCGAAGCAATTGGAAATTTGAAAACATATTAGCCTACCTTGATCGCGTACCGTAAGTCCGGTCAGGTGGTTGCGGCTTGCATACGGTTTGAACGGCTCTAAGAGGAGCTGCCACTGCCGTCGCGTGGGAGGGGAGTTCAGTGGCATCAGAGTTGTCTTCTGCAAATGGTAAAAAACGGTTGTAAGTGGGCTAACCTGTTGATGTTCAATGTGATAAATGATCAGGAAACTATACGGTGCACTTCTGAAGGACCTAAACTAAAAAAATTCAGTGCTTCATCTGCATAGCCTGTAAGTGAAATTGCATCCTTTCGTTTTCTAGCGCGTCTACGTGCTGATTAATCTGTATGGTCCAAAAGTGCTGGCAAAAAAACGAAGTGCAGAAAGAGTTTCAATCCAAAACTAAAACAAAGAGAGTATACAAGCAGTAATAGCTCGACTCACTAGGGATGAGAATGTTATAGCAACTCAAAATGAGTATTATTAATGGAGTTCAGCCCAATTTACCTCCACTGACAAGGTCTTCCGCCTGGGCTAGGAGATTTGTGACAACACTGATACCTTCTGTGATGGCACTGCGGGTAGGAAACGGAAAAATGATCAGCAAAAATAGGTAAGAGGTAATCAATATAAGTGGAGCTGAAGTTAAGACAGGACTTTTGAGTTCGCAATAGAGCACTTTATTAGTTTACACATTAAACACTTTTCACTCCAAAGCTTTGGAGAAAAGAGAAATTTAGGTCCTATTGCGCGTAATATCAGGACATGCCTGTCACTTGATACTGCGCGCAGTGATAACAAATTGCCAAAAGTACTGTTTTGGAACCAACTCATCTCGCTGAGGGAAAAAATAGAAACGGACCTAGTAGGGCACAGATTAATCCAAAGCGTAAGAGCCAGATTTTCTACTGACATCTTTGAGGTCTCCTCATGTTTGACGACCTTTAGGAGAAATTTGAGAAGGAGTAACAAGTTTTTTCGATTCGGTGGCGATAGTTGCGTGTTCATGAGCGAAATGAGCTTGTCAGAAGATGGTCTAGAGATAGCAAATACGAAGACAATAAATAATCAGAGTTTGTGGTTACTTCATTGTGGCCCGCAGTTCAATACTGTGGGCGCTCTACCAACACAAACAAACATAAATGCGAATGACCTAAGTATTGAGTTTAATGGGCCTTAGGAGCACAGTCAGTGAGCTCCAGAATTCCGACCCTTCCCCGTTGGGCGCATAGATGCAAGGCTTTCAGGAAAAAATAAAACCAGGATCAGAAAAATGAAGTGGGGAAACAACTTTGAGCAGTTAGCGGAACTTAATTGTTATCCTAAGAGCACCATCAACAAGTATAAACGCTATATGCACAACATTATTCAGCTTACAATGCATTAGCAAGAGTAAATTCAATTTAATGGGTAGACTGAAATAAGATTAAGGAATGTGGAGGTCCAATCACACCACGGAATGTAGTTGGACTATGTAGACAAAAGGGAATAATTTGATACACCCATCTTAAGCCCATCCGTCAACGAGGAACATACCTCTTTACTATGAATGAAAAATCCCATGAGTTCTTGGAAGAAATATGTTATAACAAAAGGAAACATAGCCATGCATCTATCCGAACCACCCTTAGATTCGTCACAGTTACATACAAGCATCTATTCTTAACCTAACCATCCTTCACCATACTTATTCGATGAGTCTAACCCCAAGTATTTCAGCCCTCATTTGCCACCAGTGTCATCGTATCTGACGGTGTTATCTACCCATTCCTTTATTTGCTAGCATATTTGCAGACATGATTCACCAATGTTTCATAAAACTGCCCTTCCACACGTTGTCTAATTACCCATCACAAAGTGATCAAACCTGATCCACTTGGCTCTTTTTCGCTCAAGAGTTAACTTTGAAGAGTACATCCCAAAAGAGAGAAAGCAGAAACCCGAAAAATAGCTTTCATAAAAACTCCTGTCAAGTCCGTTAAAAAAACTCATGAGTAGTTCAGAGATGCCAAAATGACGTGTTACTCAACCTAACTATTCCAGAGGAGTAAATAAATAAGTTATTTTTACTTTTGCACATCTGTGAGGAGGTGTGAACCATATTGTCCCACTTAACACCTTGACCCTTAAAAGGTCAAAACGTGTACAGAAAACAGGTCATGCGATTCCCCTTGTGTTTCGCAACATGAAGATTTCCGTTGTGCTTTCTGTTTGATGTATGCTTCGACTCAACATACCACCTCGTGTCAAAAAACACCGGATGTCCTCTGTCATCAGCCTCCATTTCTACCCTCTCAACCCAGCCAACTGACGTTGAGCACACACAAACACGTACCCACACACATAAATGTTTGTCACTGTCATTTCATTGACGCATGGAAATGCAGTTGAAGAGGGCGTCGGCTTCCATCCGATTTCATTCCACATAGCGCCATTTCATTGGTGGCTGCTTCGACTGGTGGTTAGATGAGTAGATGAGTGTTGCCATTAGTCAATCAGATATCAAAACACAAGCGTCTCATGAGTTTTACTATCATCACCAGTGGTCCATTCAAACAAGTGGCAAGATAAATTAATGCTCAAAAGTTGCCCTGCAATGCTAGGAAATTGGAAGGACTCTGCGGAATACGAATAGGACTGTACTTTAGGAACACTACTTTGCCATCGAGTGGTCGACAAAGGTTGCTCATCGCCACATCTCATCACCCTCATGTTCCTACATTGCTAACACTAGATGAGATGCACCAAATTTAGCAGTTCCAAACCAGGTGCAAATGAAGCTACGGTGAAGAATTGCACACCGGATAAGTTTACATGAGTCCGAGCACTAATTTAATGGGTAAGGTGCACAGTAGATTCCTTCATTCAAAACACCGACAATTACAGAGTCATTACTGATATTTTTGCACCAATAGAGCCAAAACAGCATGACAGTGGATTTGCTAAGCCATATTAACGTTCAAGCAGCCCAAAGTGTGAATAACAAACATGCAATTTGGTGGCTTATCGTATTAAATAGACCTCAAAGCATATTGTTCAAGTGGAAAATTCAAGGGGAACAATATCCTTTAACGACTCACAATTTACTTGACAAATTGTCGGTAAATGCTTTGCTTAAAAGGGGTTCGGGAAGCTCTCGCAGGTACTGTTTCATCACGTCTGCCACCACGTAGACACCGCAGAGATCAAGTAACTCATCATCTACTTTGTTCTGGTCAAAAGCAGTCTAAAATGGGAAAACAAAAAGATACTAAATGTGGTATTTAAAAAATGCCTTTTTACAGAAATTCTTCCAAGTGATTTCCGTTACGGCTTTTCAGTGCACGATTAATTGTGAACATCTGATTACTTCAATAACGCATAGAGTACCCCAGACCCCCCCTTAATCGTAGAAAAAATCGGGTTTTATGTTCATGTACTACACCGTCTTGACGGATGGCGCGAG